AAATTTTTAGTCAAAAAATTTTAAAGGCGTCTGTTATTAACAAACACATTCAGTAATGGATTACTAAGGTATATTGAAGGCGCCTTTTCAAATAAACGTCTTTCATAACCATCGTGGTATATTGAAGGCGTGTCATAATAAAAGATGCCTTTACTAATCCGAGAAAAGGTTTTTAGGGAAATTATTGAAGGCATTGTTTTCTGCAAATCGCCTTCACTAATTGTATACAAATTGTGATAGAAATTATTAAAGGCGTCTTTCTTGGATATACGCCTTCAACAACCGTGTTAAAATTTATGTGGTGATATGCTCAAGGCACTTATATTATATTCAAAAAATATTTATGAGGGAATTATTGTTGGCATTTTTTTTAGTAAACGTCTTTCATAATCCTGTCCAATAAAAATATTTCAAAACTTAGCGCATCCAATCATCAACTTCAAGCTTCATCTTCATTATTATACTATTTTTCTTTTCAGACCAAGTACAATTTACTTTCCCTTTCTTTCCACTTTTAGTATTCGAGCATTGTTTTTTAGAATCCTATTTTGACTATTCATAACTTATTGACTTTAGCTTTTACTTCATTTAACTATTCCTTCAGCTTTTGCAATTCGTGATTTTTTTTTGGTGAAAAAATTTTCTACAAAACCCACCTTATTTCACCTCATGTCAACCCCAACTACAAATACTCTTGGGTATTGTCTATGTTAGCAGTAGAGTTTTAACAATCATAATATCTAGTAACTGATAAATTACTTCACAACAAAAAGTTCTAGTTTTGTGTAAGTACTAGTCTTGTTATTATTTTTTGTTTAAAACATAGTAAACTATGCAATTGTACATGTTCATTTTCATATTAATTATTTAGATACATTTGGTCTAATACTGTAGCAACCAATAAATGGATAAGAGTTGGATGCAAAAGTCAAGATTAAGTCAAGAGTATAAAGATGGAGTGAAAAATTTTCTTAATTTTGCATTTGAGAATACAAGTGAAGATAATATGATATTATGCCCATGTGTGAAATGTGCTAATATTGAGTGGCAAATGCATCAAGTTGTTTATGAGTATTTAATTTGTATTGGATTTCTATCAGGATATGTTAATTGGTATTTTCATGGAGAGTCTATACAGTCAAGGTCTTTCACTACAATTCTTTCAACATCAAAGGCTCCCCATCACCAACATGATCTCTTTATAATAGATGACATTAACTAAAATTTTCGTAATCTTTTTCCTCAAAATGAAGGATTTAATCAGTCTAATGTTAAAACACATGAATTTGGTGAACCTGGGATAGGTTTATGTGACCAACAACCTAGAAAAGAAGCATCAACGTTTTATAGGTTGCTTGAGGAGATGAATGAAAAACTTTTTTAAGGATCGACGCATTCAAGGTTATCTTTTTTTGTTCATCTTTTTCACTTGAAATGCTTATGTGGATGGACGAAAAACTCTCTGACTTTATTATTACAGTTTATGAAAAAATGTTTCTTTTTACAAAAATCTCTGAATCTTGTAAGGAAGCAAAGAAGATAATTAAGGATTTAGGTTTCGGATATGAGAAAATTCGTAGTTATCCCAATGATTGCATGTTATATAAGGGGGATAGAAAAAATCAAAAATCTTGTCATTTGTGTGGTATTTCTCGTTGGGTCGACAAAAATCTCGATGAAAGTTTGAATGATGATGATAATGAGGTATGTGTCAAAAAGAAGCCTGTTAAGGTTTTACACTATTTTTCATTAATACCAAAACTTTAATGACTCTACATGTCTTCCAAAACTGCAGATTCAATGAGGTGGCATCATAAGAAGCGGACAGATGATGGATCATTGAGACATCCTGTAGATTCTTTGGCATGAAAGTCATTTCATTCTAGGTTTTCAGACTTCTCATCTAATCTTCGAAATGTTATGCTTGGACGGGCATCTAATGGATTCAACCCGTTTCAAATTATGAGTACTTTTTATAGTACTTGACTAGTTGTATTGATTCCTTACAATTTACCACCATGGATTGCTATGAAGCAATAGTCATTTATATTGTCTTCATTATGTAAGTCACTCATTGGCTCATTAGCTCCACGGTATTCTCCCTTTGCAAATCCTCAATCAAACTTGGATGTATAAACATTCCTTCCATTTTTCTTGGCTTATCAATTACTTTCCCTTTGATTGTTGTGTTTATTCTTTAATAGACTGTTGAATTATCTTTATTCACTGGAGTAAATATGTTTCCAAACCATCATTTCTATCATAATTAGCTTTAGTTGCCATTTCAGCTATATTATTGCCTCTTGCCATGTTTGACTTGTGCTTGTTGTCCCTTCTAGTTGCTTCGTCAGCTTCGACACTACCTCAAACTTTCTTTGTCCTCATGGGTATCTTTTTGAATTTTTTCATTTTATTGGTGATGCTTTAAGCTAGTCGCCATATTGCTTAACCTTATTTTGTTCCCCAATGCTACACTCTTTTTCTTTTGGTATCTTGCACTCCATGTTTGTTTGTCCTAATCTTCCATAATCATAACAAAAGTTTGGGAGCTTATCATACTTTACTGATCCCCAACATACACCATCCTTTATGGATCCACGAACTATAATTGCCTTCCGTAGTGGTTTTATAATGTTTACCTTAACCTTAATTCTGATGAACTTTCCCTATTTTCCTCTTTCCTTATCCATGTCAATTCCTATAATGTTGCCTATTTTATTACCTAGTCAAATTGCCATCTCCTTTGTATACCAACATAGAGGCAAATCATATATTCTTACCCAAAAAGTTGCAGACTGAAACTTGTAATCACTTGGGCTTAGCAATCCATCATACTGTTTAGGTAATAATAAATGTTTATTAAACGACCAAGGGCTCCCCTCAATAACCCTATCTATATCCCTTGTAAAAAGGAACTAGAACAAGAACAAGTTTGAATCTAGGACTTGTACCTCCACTTTTTTTACTAGTCTTTATACCACCTTGAAGGTTACTATCATGGCCTCTTTATTGAAATGGCAATTTGTAAATAGCAATCCAACCATCCATGGGCAATTTCCTTCCTACCTTATCCAACCATCCATGGGCAATTTCCTTCCTACCTTTCATTTTTCCTCCACTTTAACACAATCCCCCTCTTCATCAGTAAACTTGAGTTTCATTTACAAACCCTGTAACTCTATTGTCATTTCTAATAAAGCCAATAAAACAAAACTATAGAATGAAGACAAGACAGTAAAACCTAGCACAAACAAACTAAAAAACAAAACTAACTGAATCCCAAAGATCATTGATGGACTCTTGAGACGTGGATGCTTACATGGAGCATGACTAACTATTTTCATCAATAAGAGAGACTGCATTGGCAATACATTGCCCAATAAGTTGGTATCACCCATGCACTATATTTATTGAACTGTTAAATGATGGTCTTAGTGAGAAAAATAAAGCAAAAAAAGAAAAAGACAAGAAAAAAAATGAAACCCAATTGTCATGTAAATAATGATAAACACTCAAATGGTTTGAAGTACCTTATTAAAAGCAAATCTAATAATTTAAAATACGATATGGTGATACAACATGAAATAATAAAAAAAAAATGAAGGTAACACGGATTAAAATTTTAGTAAAATTTATATATGAGTTTAACAAAACAAAAATTTTTTTTCGTATTTTCGTTTCTACATGAATTATGATACTTAATTTCTAAGTAAAATATAATATGAATATAAAAATTATTAATATTTTACATGCACGAATATAAAAACTATTAGACCTAATTAAAAGAAATAAATTTAAAAATACTTATATGAAAATAAAGAATGTAAATAATGATTGTGGAAAACTCCATAACTATTAATTTAAGTCTTAATTACACCAAATGATATTATTAAAAGAGTTTATATTTGATACACTATTAATATATAAATTTCATACACTATTAATAAATCAGATGATGTCATGTAATTAATAAGTAAATATTAACCCTTAAAACAAATATACAAAAATTAATATTTTAAAAAAATTTACTCATTAATGATGTGGTATTATTTGATTTATTTTATTAATAAGATGACATTATCTTATTTACTGACAGTGTATAAAATTTATATATGGATAGTGTATTAAATATAAATCCTTATTAAAAATCTATTTGTGAAGGGAAAAATAGAGATTTATTAATAGACATGTGAAATTTTCATAAGGACTTGTTTGGTTTGTATTTGATCTCATTGTGGTAGAACTTTAGGCAAAAGCAATGAATCTATGTCATTATCAGACAATCATGTGAGCTTTAGCTTCTCATTCACTCATATTTGGAGTCATTTTTCGCACTACTACTAAGGGTGTAAATAATACATTAGTACTTGTAAATTACTTGGGTTCAACTTAAATAAAATTTAAATTTAGTTCGATTATTATTAAGTCGAGCTCGAGCTCAAGTAACTTGACTTATTAATCGAACTAAGTTTGAGTATTTTTATATTCAGCTCGAGTAGCTCAGAGTCTAATTGAGCTTTTGTATTTTAATATATTTTAATTGATAAAATATCTTGAACTTAAGTTCGAGTTCGAGCATAAATAATTAAATTTTTATCAAATATAATAATCGAACTTATTTTTACATGTTAATTGAGCCTAATCAAATAAGTTCGAGTAATTCGATTCTTATCTTAAGTCGAATTTAAGTTAAAAAAATAAAACTCGATTAAGTTCGATCTAAGTTTTGAACTCAAATTTAAAGTCAAACTTGAATTTAAATTTAATATTATATTAACTCAAACTCAATCAATTACACTATTAATTATTACTATCAAATACCCAAACCTTATAAAACATTCTTCTCCCTTCTCTAAACGACACCCATAAAATATAATCACCTTCGTTTATTTTGTTTGTGGCTCAATCTTATCCACATTCAAACACAGCCTTATTCAAATACCACGAGATGCGACAACCGCAACATAAGATACTTTCTCTTATAAGAAAGAAAATATTAACACAAGTAAAAGAGAAATTTGCCCGCCCAAAATATATATCTAAAACAGTGCACCACATTCAATGAAGGTCACGCTTTTCGATAGAATTGTTCGTTACTTGCCAAAGCCCAACACTCCGTGTCTCTTTGCCTTCCCCTTTAATTTTTTTTTCCTATCGTTTCCCTCCCTCGCCTCTCTACGCGCCAATGTTACCTGAAAATCGATTCTTTGATCGGTTTTTGATTTCCTTGGTGCCCTCAGCAAGCGTTCAGAAAAATGCCTGAACCATGGCCACCTTCACTTCATCGTTCCATACTTTTGTCTGGCCTCATTCGTTTTTAACAAATTTCAGTTCTCGGGTTTTCCCGTCTTGTTTCTGCGGGGTCAACCCGGGGAATAAAGCGAATTTGGTGTCTCTGAAGTTGAATCTTATTCGTGGTTTGGAGTTTGGGGAAGAGAAGAAAAGGGTTTCTCGGTGGTCTTGTTGGTGCAAGAAAGGGTGGGAGAACGACGGGGATTTGGCATTGGAAGCAGAGATATTGGAGTTCATGAAAAATAGCGAGAAACCTGAGTCTTTTCCAAGCAAGAAAGAGTTGATTGATGCTGGGAGGATGGATCTGGTTGAGGGGATTAAGAGACAAGGAGGGTGGCTTGCTATGGGCTGGGACTTGGATGATGATAAAGGTATTGGATTTCAAGAAAATCGTTTTCCAGAAGGTGGTTTCGAAAATTCGGACTTAATCGTGAAGGAGAAGGAATGGGATGACGAGACTTTTCAAGAAAGGGTTCAAAGTGAAGTTGAAACTAGTAGTGGGACTTCTGCTTTAGTTGTTAATTCGTATTGCTCACCTTCCTCGTCTGCTAGATCAGTGTGAGATATTTAATTCTTAGGCTTTTTCTTGTTTAACGTACTCTTTTTTGTGGAAAAGTTAGTTCTTGCATTTGTTATTTGAATGCCTTCTTGAATTTTGTTCTTTTTAGTTTTATTATTCTCGTGTCTGGAACAAATAGTTGCAAATGCTGTTTCAGTCTTGCGGAAAAGGTAATTTGTTTGCGCTTGCTATTGCTTGTGTGATGTTAGTTGAATGTCTTGTGATGTTAAAAGAAAAAATCTTGTAGGATATTGTTCTTTGTCTTTATCTTTTTGTCTTGTTAGAGATAAACAATTGCTAAGTTAAATGTGGATGCTTCATATGAAGTTTATACTTGGCCTGCGAACCAATTAATCTTTTTTGAAATTAGAGCAAAAAGAAGAAAGTTGGAATCTTTGGAGTTTAGGATCCTGTGAACGTTTTTGACCAAATATTTCTGTTTAATCAGAGAAGTAGCAGCTGAGCATGACTATGGGATTGAGGGTATACTGAGTCGTTTAGAGAGAGAAAGGAATAGGAACTTTGGGTTTGGTTTCAGAGAGAAAGGTGACAATACTTGTACTCAAAGTAATGATTACGAAGAAGAGTCTCTTGTGGAAGCCTCAATGGATGTGGTATGTTGGTTTTATTAATTCAATCATTCTTGCATCCCATTATTATTTTTTAGCTTGTATTAGTTGCATATGTTAGGTTATATATTAGGTTTTCAAAATATATATGTATGAAAATCTGTCTGCACCATGGTTTTCTATAAATAAAGACATCTAGTTTACTATTTTAGCAACATTTATGTCTCGAGGACTGTTATCTTTCTCTCTTCCATTTTAACCTTGATTCTATGTGCTTCAATTTGTTCATCAGCCTTCTGGTGTAAGATTTGCCATAATCATAACCTTTTGTATTTGTTATGTTGTAAAAGACAGTTGGTGGTCTTGTGAGAAGAAAACTGTTTTCCTTCAGCGATAATACAGACCCAGTCAATGATAATAGGATCAAGTTTAGTCAGAACCAGTCTCTTTCAGGCATTGACGGTTTAAGAAATCCAACATGGAGAGAGTGGAGCCTTCAAAGAGCAGGGTTTGTAGGCAAGGAATTTGAAGGTAGCCCATCTGTTAGTTTCACATGTTTCATGTCTTTGAAGTTTGGATTTGATAGATTTCTATTTGTTCTATTGCAACTTACAACTGCTGAAATTATCTTCAATGAAATGGAATGGTCAACAAATATTTCAGGGGATGAGACACTTGAAATAAGAGATAAATCCAGTGAAGCCAGAAGGAAGGTTTCACACAATGAAATACGAAGTCGTCTTGAGCACCTGAAGTTAGAGCTTTCAGCGGTGCTTCAGTCATTGAGGTCTAATGTTGATGAGGTTTCGTCATGGCAGGTGAGCAGATGATGATCTCTGTTCCTTTGTGCATGTTTGCTTCATGTGACTAATTTTTTCTTGAAAAAGAAACCAAATCAAAAGCATTTTTTGTGTCCTTCTGTGTCCTTGAGAATTAGATAATTCAAAGACAATATGGCTCTCCTTGCAATTCAGTTTTACTGTTCATGGTAGGTTCTTTGCAAGTGAGATAAGACCTTGCCCTCATGTTTATTACCATGAAATACAAAGAGAGAAATGGGAAATGAAAAAAGAAAAAAGAAAAAAAAGGGAAAAAAAACAAAGGAAGGAGAATGTAGTATGTCAGGGATAGGTTGTTCAACTCCTGGGTTGTGTTCTGAAAGAAGAAAGAGTAATCAAGTTATATTTATGGCAATGTAAGGAATGGAACTTTATGTTCTTAATCTCTCTCTCTCTCTTTGGTCACTAATTCATAAATTTGAGTTATGAGATTTTCTTATGTTTCTGTTTGAAATCTGTTCGTTTATAGTATAATTTAACTTAGAGTATTTTGAAAAAGATGAAGAGAAATTGAAGTTTTATTTTCTCAAGTTCCAATCGAAGATACAATCAACTTCTGGGTTAGTTAGAAACCATCCTTGGTGTTCCTCATACTTTGCATTCAATTTGAGTTATTGATTACCTTTTAACCCTGCTATCTGTGGTGTGCAAGGGTGATGGAAGTTCCACTGACAATTTGCATAAGCTTTCTGATGCTTGGGAGTTCCAGGAAAATGAGATAATGAATGCCCAGGACAAGTTGCGGTCCATACGGGCAAGGTTGGCGGTTTTAGAAGGGAAGATGGCATTGGCAATAATGTAAGCGTTACTCATGTTAGTTTAAAAAGATACCTAACTTAAATTACTTTAAAAGGATCACATTTGTACATTTCTTTGACAGAGGCACACAAAAGACAATGGAAGAGAAACAGAAAAGGATTGATGATGCTCGTAGAGCTTTACAACTTCTTCGAACTGCTTGCATAGTGTGGCCTAATTCTGCATCAGAGGTGCTGTTAGCAGGATCGTATGATGGGTGGGCAAGCAAGGTTTGCTCTCATCTCAAACAGATTAATCAGAATTGATAATGATGGCTTTCTTAATCAGTGCATTCATTAATTAAGTGCAAGTTGATGGAGAATTAGATGGACTCATTTAGGATATAAAGTGCTGAGACAACTATCCTGTTTTTGCATTTTGTGTCTCTCTTTTGGTTTCATAGTCGTGTGCAATTAGTAATTATTTTGATAGACTTTAGGGAAAAAAAGTTTGTGATACTTGATAGAGAACAAAAAGCACCAAAGTTAGACCCATGAATTCATTTGCTAACTCAATAGGTGCTTGGCGAGGCAACTAAAATGTTAAATGCGACTAAACATTTTATTATGGTCAATACTTAGACTTCCTTTAAGTGCAGAATGCTACACATCATGGCATGCCTGTACTGGTCCTTGCTTTTTGGATAAAGCGGGCAGGGCCCATTTCCTGTAATTACTTGGTGTGCGCCCCTTTCTTTGAAAGCCCTATATGGTTCGCTGGCTGTTTGTCTGAAATGAACTTGCCCACTGCTTCTGCTTCTGCTTCCTTCTTGGCAGGTTGAATGCTCATCATCCTCAAATGTTTTCTCTGCCAGGCTCTTTTCCATTGTTTGAGCCATACCCTATCACTTTTTAAATCTCCATGTTTTCTTTGTAAGCATGTATCTCATTATCAACAGGAAGTACTGCAGTTAATTTCTCAGTTTCTGTTTTTTCCATTTCCTTATGAGGATTGGCTGTGTGTTACTTTCACCAGAAAGACAGTTATGCTTGACATGCACGAGTTATCGCTGAGCTTGGCATCCTCTTACTGAGATCCAGACTTTTAGTCAAGCTAGAGTAATTGGTATCTCTACTTTCAGCTCTAGTTTTAGCAGAGATGCCAAGGATATTTGCATTTTACGAGGAATTGGATCTCTTAAACTGAATAATCACTTGCTTTTCTTTTTGTTGTGTTAATGCTATTCAGATTAGCAGTTTGTGGCAACTACTAATGTTCATGTCTCTTTTACATGAGGGAGCTTCATTACTTCTCCCTTTATCATGATGAATACTCCTTTTTGTATTATGCATTTAAGCCTACTCATGATAATTAACAATTTAACATGCCTGTAACTTTTGCTCCTCTATGATTGGTAGCTTACAATCATATCTTGCAGAGAAAGATGGAGAAGTCAAGTGCTGGTGTTTTTTCAGTACGTTTGAAGTTGTATCCAGGCAAATATGAGGTATGTCTTTTTGTCTACATTTCAAAATTACGTGATGGATAGCTGAGAATATTTACCTTGTGGCATAGATTAAGTTCATTGTTGATGGTAAATGGACGATTGATCCCTTGCGCCCTATTGTTAACAACAATGGATATGAGAATAATCTACTTGTCATCACATAAGGAGGCCAGACTCCAGAGGCATGCAACAATGGGCATGGCAAGATTTTCATTTCATCATAAAGACGATGTAGGGTAAATGCAGCTGATTTTTCTTTTTACTTTTCCATTTTCCCTCTTGTAAACAAGTAGAATAGGGCTGGTAGAAGATGATACTTCCTAATGATTCTTTACCAAAAGGGGAATCAGATAAATGTAACGCAACCAGACGACTGTTACAATACCCATTTTCCCTTAAATTTTGTGTTTTCTACCTTGTCGGAACACCTATGTGAATAATGAGATGACATCAATTTGATCATTCTTTTTATCATTTTAATAATTTTTTAAAAGAAAATTTCTAGTGATTGGTAAAGCGTTCATGATTTTTGAAATTTATTCAACGAGATGGATAGGGAAGTTGTCACCGATTGCTCTTGGGTATGTTTAGGTTTGAGTTCATTCTTTCTATGAGCAATGTTGTCCACCTTTTTTCAAATGGCATCGTTGAAAAGTTTCAAGTGAGACATTTGTACAGATCTCTGCTGAACTCTTTGCATCAAACTCTTCTGCATTTGTTTTCTGATGCCAACGCCACCCCAGGCCAAGTTCTAAGAAAAGAAAATCCACCACCTTTGCATGTTTTTCTCTGCCAGCTGCTAAGCAGCTGAAGTTGGGAGAATTTAATCACGCTATTAACTGCAATTGTATAATCTTTAAAATTACAATGAAAAAAATGTCTGTCGTCTGGTATCAATGGCAAGTGCTTTGATAAAGTATTGGCCTACTAACTTTTGCCGCCTGAATAGAGTAATATCTTATTTAATAGTAACAAATGACTCTTCAATTATAATTAAATATTTAATATAGTAATTAAATTTAAAAATTTTTTAATATAATATTTAAATTATATATGTATTAATTAATGCGATATTTATTCTTAATATAATTAATTCTAAACAATAACATATGATAAATAAATAACACTTTAAATATCAAATTAATTAATAAATTTATATTTTAAATATTATATTAAAAATATTTAAAATTTAAATATCATATTAAATATATAGATAAAAAATAATATATATAAATTTAAATTTATAAAATATTTTTTATAAGATAAAATCATAAAATTTTCATATTAAAACAAATAATACTTCATAAATTAAATACAAATATTCACAAATGATATAAAAACGATCACTAATCGATAGTCATAGGAGTCATTAAATATTATACGATAGAATCGTGTAAGTTATTAAGTGTTATATGGTGATCTGATGTGATATTGATCTTATGAATAGATTCGATTTGATAGTAACATTAAATTTTAGAGGTAGTGAAATTATAATGCCTCTAATTTTACATTAAAAAAATATGTGAATAATGAATGATATATATGTAAAAGTTTAAATTTAAATTTATGAAATATTTTTTATAAAGTAAAATCATGAGATTTTTAAATCAAAACGAATAATACTTCATAAGTTAAAGTATAAATCTTCACGATAATAACTAATGTGGAATCTCTTATGAATAAAGTAACCTTAGGCTTACAAGATATTGAATATACACAAAAGTCGAGCACATTACCAAGAGACAATGGAGTCATTTCTAATAGGGAGGTGCTTCAAAATCTTTATTCCCGGGTTGTTTTAAATTTATTTCTGTAGATGGAGTACTCTAAGCCACACCACTGGCACGTCATATAATCTCAAACATTGAAAACTTATGTTAAAACTTTTTTTCTCTCCTTTTCCAACTTCCCGCATAGCTTTTTCTCTTTCTATTATCCTTCTTGTTTGTTTAAGCAGCAATTCAAGTGCCAAATCTACAAATCTATTTAAGCAGCAATTCAAATGCCAAATCTACAAATCTAACCTTTCTTCCACTACTCAAGTTAGCATAAACCCAGCAAACACATGTTCCTTTTCCGTTAGTAATTGTTTCTCTTTTGAGAGTAAAGAGGCAGTGTTTAGCATATTGGAATTTTTTTTTCTTTTGCCATAAAACAGATCGAATGTTTTGATGATAGATTTTTAGAAAATTTGAACTCTATGATGAAATATCAAAATTTCAAAGTTCATAAAAAATTTTGAAAATCCCCCTTGATTGTTTAATTCTTAAAGCATTATCCTCTGGAATATAAACCTATTTTTCAATTCTCGGTTTAGTTGCCGATGAAAATGTTAAGATTATAAAAAAAAAAAAAAGATTTTAAGTAAAATTGCAGTTGGGTGCTCAAATTTACAGGGTCTGGAGGCATAAAGTAAGGTAAATCTTTTAAAAAACCTATAATAGGCACTTACAATTTTATTACCTTTGTTTCTTTGATTTGCAGAAGAGATATGCAAAAGGAAAATAAATAAATATTTTTAAAAATTTAAAGATAAAAAAATATGAGATGGTAAAGATTTTGGATTTTTTTTTTCATGTAAAAAAAGAGAAAGAAGGAAGGATTAGACGATTAAGGATATGAATTAAAACATGAATGTTAAAATAAAAAATTTTAAATACTTACAGTGAAATATAGTTATACAAATTTGGGGTTAAGAATGTTAACGAGTAGAGTATGGATTTATTTTTGTACTCATAATTAACAGATATTTTAAATTTTTATTTATTTTTATTTTTACGAGTATTTAATGGATATAAGTAACTTCATATTTATAATTTTTTAAATTTTTTAAAAATAAAATTTTATTTTTTTATTTTTTATTTTTTTAATTTTTATTTTGTATATTTAGATAATTTTTTATTAACATATATTTTTTCAATAAAATATTTTAATTTTAATTAATTTAAAATAATAATGTATGTTATTTAATAAAAAATTTATTTATTAAATATATATAAATATATAACTTAAAAATACAAAACGAATATTATATTATCCGTTCTAATCTTTATATCTAATAAAAATTTAAAATTATATCAATTCATATTTTTATAATATATTATCTATCTCTATTTTTATTAAAATAAAAAATCAAATTCCCAATATGAATAAAATTAAAATTCCTATTTAAAATTATATAAACAATGAGATGACATTGATGTAACTAAAATAACTTATTTAAGGAATAAAAATTTTGATTAACCCTTATAGAAGAAAAAAACTCAGAGACTGTGTCTGACAGTTCCACTAACTCTGGACACTTAGTTCTGGCGTGCGTAAGGCCTTTTCCAAATTGAAAGAAGCTGAAACCTATTAAGGCCAAATTTTGGAGCATCAATCAGTTGCATAAAAACATATCATCAATCAAATTACAGAACTTGAGTAGTTTATATACAATTTCATAATGAAACGAAGCCTGCATAGAAGTGAAGTTAACTATGTTTGAAAAGTTATGGCATAAAGATAAGAAAAGCTTTAAATAAAAATTCAATAATTATTTAACATTTTAACATTTTATTATAATTTATTAAATTTTAAATTTTTATTTCAAATTAGTTTAATTTTTAAATATTTATTTTCATTTAATTAAATATTTATATTTATATTTTTATTTAATTAAAACTTTGATTGGACGAAAACAATTCATAATTTACTTCTAATAAAGATAATTGATAAAAATAAAATATTTAAAAAATTAATTAATTATTAAATTTTAATTCACAAGCCTTTTGTTTTCTGTTACCAAAAGTTAAATCAATAGCACCAGAATGGTTCCACAATATACTCATGGAATATTAGATTTTTCTTTGATAGTTACAGATATCAAATCAACCACACATCCTCGACAGGTTATTTTGTTCTTTTGGATAAAAAACCTTGATAAGTTCACTTGATACTGCACAAAGATATTTTATTCATATATATATATATTTACATATATATATATAAATCCCTTAAAAATTATCAAAATATATTTTTTATTATTTTATAAAAAATTGACATATCATTAAATTGATTATTATATCATTATATTATAATTATAAAAATATTATTTTTTAATAATTATTTATCATAATACCTTTATATCATAATTACAAAAATAATTTTTTTATAATTGATTAAAATTATTATATTATCCTCGAAAATATATTTTTCTTATAATTAACTAAAATTACTATAATATTTTTTAATCATAATTACAAAAATATTCTTATAAATTTTTAATAAAAAATTGACATGTAATATTTTATTTCAAAATAACATATATTAAAACAATCATCTTAATAATTACTATAATAACTATTTATTTATTTGATATGATGTAGACACATCTTTAAATTTACTACAATACTTTTATATCATAATTATGAAAATATTTGTCTTCTTATAATTAGCAAAATTATTATCATATTATCCTATAATAATTATAAAAATATTCATCTTACTATAATTGGTTAAAGTTACTACAATATATTTTTTTTACTAAAATTACAAAAATACTCCTATCATAATTTGCCAAAAATCACTATAAACATGATCAAATTGACTATTATGCCCCCATATCATAATTACGAAAATACCCATTCTTTTATAATTATTTACTATAATACTTTCATACTATAATTGTAAAAATACCATTTCTCTTATTATTTACCAAATTTATTATGCTACTCTTATATCATAATTACAGAAATACCATCCTCTCATAATTAGTCAAAATTATTATAATACATTTCCTATCATGTAATTAATAATCCTTTATTTATTCGATATGATGTTGACAGTATCTAAATTTATTATAATGCCTTTGTATCATAATTACGAAAATATTTATCTTTTTATAATTAAATAAAATTACTATAATCTCTTATACAATAATTATAGAAATATTTTTGCTAAAATTATTATAATATCCTTCTTGTCAAAATTACAAAAATATCTTATAGACAAAAATTACTATAATACCACTCATATCATAATTATGAAAATACTTTTATGAGTATTTCGTAAGAAGTTAATATATGACGTTTTGTTTCTAAATTACTATAATACCTCTATTATATTATATTAAATTTTAACATAATATAAAATTAACCACATATTAAATTATTAAAACATCCTTACTATTGCTTTTATAAAAATTTGACATGTGAATTTTATTTAAAAATACTATAATACTTTTATTAAATTCTATGAAATTTTAACATAATACAAAATTGACTACAAATTAAATTACTAAAATGCCCTTGCCATTGCTTCGTAAAAATTGACATGTGAAATTTTATTTAAAATTTACCATAATATCCTTATTAATTACTTATTAAATGTTAAATAATATATATTAAAACAATTCGCATGGAAATTAGTATAACACCACTTTATTTATTTGATATGATTTTGACACATATCTAAATTTATTATAATGCCTTTCTA